AAATAGTGAAGTTTTAGCCAGTCCAGAACATCTGGAAAAAAGCTGTTTCTGGCAAAGCAATTTCATTTCAGTCACCCATGCTACAGGTTGAAGCATTCATTCACTCAGGTGGTACGCAATGCTGTCAGCACTAGGAGATGCAAGAGGTCTGTGCAGCTCTCTATGGAGGAACATCACCACCTTGGCTGCTGTGACCCAGCCATTTCTACAAAGCACATACAAATTCTTCTGTTAGAATTGAATTCAGGTGAGTTTTCACGGCCATCGTGGCAACAAAAATCCACTTCTCAAGTTTTACATCTGATCCAATTCACAAGGGGCTACAGCACTTCAGACAAAATGCTTACTAGATTTTAAAACAAATAAACATCACATCTTGGCAGAATCATGGATTTTTCCTTAGTCTTCTACTAAATCACACTTTCTGGAAACACAGGGAAGCAGTCAGCTGGCACGGAACCTTTTGGTATGAACTTGTTTCGTTCTGACAAATCAAAAACATGTTCTCACACAGCTGGGTGGGCAGCACAATGCTGCAGCTGCAGCACTGCCACCCAAACTACACTGAAAACAGCACAGTTGTCCCACCAGCCTGCCAAACATAGAGGCCAACCATCTCCTACAACTGCTGCAACTGTCAATCAATACTCTGTATGAACAAGCAACAGCCAACCCATCTAGTCAGTTAGTAGCTGACAGTCTCCTGAGACACTAGGTCGTGCCCTGGGCAGAGGTAACACCTGATCTGCTTTGTTCTGACCCTACATCACTTCCTTCCACAACTGCTACCCTAGCTTCATACTCCCCCAGATCCTCCAATTAGCACAGCAAAAGACATTTATCACTTTTAAGTGATAATTTTTTTTTTAAAGAAAAAAATCAACTTATCACTAGGCATGTACTATCAGCATTCACCATCATCTCACCCTGGTCACCACACACCATACAGCACTGGAGTTGCAGTTACGGGGAGTCCGCAGCGGATTTGCAGCAGCTTCACGTTAGCAAGATCAGCACTCTGGGCTGACAGAGCTGATCTCATGGAATGAAAGCTGTCCCACAGTGCTGCAGAAGCAAAAGTAACAGACCAGCTCTGCTCTGAATTGTACTGAAAAGCCTGAGGTACACCCTTAACACTGCAAATATGCTCCAGAACAGTTCATTCCTGATATATTTTGGCATGGGGAGAGGTGGAAAGGTGTGCAGCCCAGGAGAGAACCCGCCTGATGCAATTTCACATAGTAAGGACCAAACTAACCGGAACAGGTGAAACGTCAAAATGATAATCTGCAAGACAAATAAAGAAGTCTAAACACAGATGAAACTACTGCAACTCCACAAGCAGCAACTCAGATGTGTTACCTATGACTGTCACTGTTTTGATTATGATCAAAACATCTATAAATGCACACACACCTTTGGTCAAGGACAAAGATCACACTGCCTCCAACTACAGAAACCTGAGAAATCAGTATGGAGCTCATACTGTTTTAAAGTATTTCATTAAGTTTTAAAATATTTGCTTATTTTATTTAGCCAGCAATGCTTATTTTATTTAAATGTTACATAGAAAAAAATATGACTGAATAATGGATGAAGCACACAGGTGACATTTGGTAGAATTCCATTTCTTTCTATCTCTTAAGAAAGCTGCTAATACGTTTTCAGCTTTCTAGATGAAAGCTTTCATGCTTGTTCCCAAAACACGATTAACTTCCTGAAGATCAGCATGACATATTCAGTTTCAAGTCTGCTTTTTTTTCCTGGAGCACTAAGATTTTTTGCCAGAAAAAAATCTAAAAATATCTACAAAAGGGAAGCAGAGCTGAAAGTTCTCTACTTAAATTCTAAATAAAATATCCTAATTATTCTTCAGTATCGTTCAAGTGCTATCATTTTAGCATCATCAGCACAGACTTTGCTCACCAGTTTTGGTTATGTTTTTTTTTTTTTTTTTTCCTACTGAGCCATATTTTCTTGGCTAATGCTATTAGGTCCTTTTTTTTTTTTTTTCCTTAATGGTATTTTCCTTACCCAACATATACCAGTTGTTTTTTTAGCAGCTTCAAATTTATTTTTTCTACGTCCACAGTTTCACCGCCACAAAACAATGTTCACCCTGTCTCTGTGCTGTGCAGCCACTAACAGAACAGGAGATCGAGCCCCAAACCTGCCTTACAACTTATTTTATATCATAACACGAGGTGACGTTACGTGGAAATACCAGGACTCTGACTACCCTTAACTCTGGAAGCAGTATTATCTTAAAATTGCCACATTCCCCAGTAGGGATCACAGGCACTGACAGTCAGTAGATGGCAAGGAAGTGGAAGCAGGCACAGCAGTCACTCATTACTTTTAAAATCTTCAGTGCAATGCTATCCAGCAGTCAATCTTACAGACACAGAAGACTGGGACTTCTTCCTCCTTTCACCCTGCCTACACAAGGCTTACTCAGCTCAGAGCTGTGTATGTTTCAGTGCAATACAAATACTAAGTCAAACAACTGTTTTCCCAAACTGACAGGGTTTGGTTTTCTGTGTTACTAACACGACATGTTCAAGAACGTGGCCATTAAAAATTAAGATAAAAAACTCTCACTTTTGGACCTTCTACTTTGAGAAGAGAGGCTGTACAGAAATGCATCCGTGTGACAGAGAAAATGAGAGCAGGGTGATAAAGTGAAATTCTAACTGAATCCCTGGATTAAATTGGAGTGGGGGTAGGAGGTAGAGGGAAAGAAGCGAATGCACATGTGATGCTCCTTATTTCAATATGAGATTTGTAAATGCCAATGCAGAGGTGTTTTTTTTCCTCCTCCATACATCAAATTCTATGAATTCTATTAGAATCCATTACTGGTCCCCAGTATGAATGCATCAAGTGATTTTCCTCAGTTGTCTACTCAATGGGGACAAAGAGAGTATTATTCACAGGTAACAAGAGGGACAGTACAAAAGCTGGACTGGGAAGACTTAGTTCATTAAGGGAAGAACTAAAGAATTCAATAAGGTATACTGTGAGCCACCACAGCTTTGCAAGCGTTCTCTGATGTGCCAATAATGTCATAACAAATACCCAAGTAAACCAGTTAAGTAGTTTTCCTTGATGTTAACACTAGTTTCAGTGTCATTCAAGCCACGGTCATTTACAATTATAAAAAACATGTTTCCACCCCTGTTTCTACAAATCACACAGCAGCCAAATACCCAAACATTCCTCTGGGGGTGCCTCTATATCCTCTTGCAAACTCAGAGCAGCAGTCTAGCAATACTGGAAACCGAAAAGCACAGCTTGCTTGCTTCATAACACAACATACTTACCTTAGTAACATGACAGGCAGACACTACATTAGGACGTTTTCCACATCATTACCTATTATTTATTTCTCGGGCAATTTTTACAATATTTTGTTCAAAAGACATTGTAACTGATGCCCCCACACTCACACTGATATCATCCAAACAGTCTACCAATTCATTTTCTCCATAAGCGATATAAAGACTGAGCGCATTGTGACACCTCATACATATTTAATAATTGCCTGATAGGTTGTCATTAACATCAAACAGCAATCTAAGTTTGCTACATTAAACATGATCCTTGTGTTAAGAGGACAATCACAAACTGCCTCCAAGATCGAGCTGCTACGAAATACCCACTGACTTGGACAAGGGGTAATGAGGCCAACTGCACCGGAGGAGCCATTATTCACACACTGGATTTAAACAAAAAAAAAATAAAGTGAAGGGGGAGAAAAAGCTTCAAGGGGTCATAAGACCAGACACGCCATAAGGCAATCTCTCGCGGAATACTCATATTAATAACTGTTGTGTCAAAGCTGAACATTCAAAAGAAAGACAAACGTGCCTTTACATTTTATGAAATGTAACCCCACAAAATTAATAATTCATGAGACAAAGCAAAATATCAGATTTGGATATAAATATTAACAGAATACTGTCAACTTGTTTAGAACCAAATTTTGACTGTCCTGCTGTACAGCTATCAATCTAGAAGGCAACATTCTTCCAGAGTTCAAAGAAAAAGAAATCAGTATGTAAGTCATTAAGAAAGAAAACAACATTCTCCCTTCACGTAGGATCTCAATGAAACAGCAGAACACTGCCCTGTACCCAGATGTTGCTGAGAGAGTAGTAACTGACTGCTGTTATTCATTCCCAGAGTTATGCTGTGTTGACAACAATAATGTTGGTGCACACACAAGAAACTACACCAAGGGGACACAATAAAACTGAGACTCAATGGAAAAAGGGTAGGGAAGCAGGGGAGATGATTTTCAGATGACAATCGGATAAAAAAGCTGATTAAAACTTAATGTAAGTTTCAGCACATGAAGTTCAAACAACTTGGATAAATGTTCTCAATCAGATGGTGTTTAAGTAGAATGGAATAAAGCACTTAACCCATAATCCACAGCCACAATACATGATTTCAAGCAAATCATGAAATACATTTTCAAAACATTCGTTAGTCTCCAGATAAGTATTTAACAAGACCTACAAAATGATGTGGTCGTTTCCACTTCAATCGTTACTTTATTTGCTGAAGTGATTGGCAGTCAGAGTTGAAGATAAAGAAGCAACTACTTAACTCCTTTTGACACCAGCCTTTTCTGCTTTCAGGGCTATTATAACATATAGAAAAATGCAACCGCACCAAAAATCAGGAAAGGCACCAAAATGTACTGCTCAGAAAGGTGGTGACAGTGCTTTTCTTTAGGTTTTTCCTCTCCCCAGCTATAAGTGAAGTCAAGTTACCTGCACTTACATTGTGAGCAACAGCATTAAAAAAAAACATTCTTCCAAGCAAATCAATATTGGGTATACACACACACAAAAAAGGTCAGTATAACACTCCACTTTTCTCCACATTTCCTGCTATTTTAACCACATTCAACCCAGCAACGATAAACAAAGAACAACCAAAGAATTTCAGTATTAATAAATTTTAGTAATTAAAAAAAAGTTAATTCCTACCTTTATCATTCTTGAGAGATCCCCAGCATCAGCTAATTCCAACACTATGTTCAGTTCGTTGTCTTCAATGAATGATGCATAGTATTTAATTACATTTGGATGATTCAGTTGCTAAGAAAGCAGATTTATAATGCACATCTTAGTGCCATGTCTTATCTCTTATGACTCTAACATTCTTATTTAGGCAAAAAAAACACCTAAAATTTACTACAGTAAGACATGAAACATTTGTGCTTATAAGAAGCATTGACAGATAAGCACTTTGCAAGAACATGCAAGACTGCAAGAACATTGTGGCCATTTTAGGTTGAAGTCGCACTGAAAGAAAAACAACTTTTTTAATTGCATCTATGTAATAGCGTGCTAAACTCATCTGAAAGTCAAGTCATTTTTTAAAATCACTGTGCACAAGACACTTATCTAGAATATTGTATTTTTAGTAATGTCTACTTGAAAAGTTATATTATTTTCTAGGACTCACTTCTCAATGTTAACTCTCAAAGCAATTAAAGATTCCTGAAGTGAGGCTTATAAAAGCTCTACATAAGTACCAGTGGACACTTTCAAATATATCTGTGAAGAAAAAAAAAAAGTACTTTGATGATAGCTGCAATTTTTTATTATTTTAAAACAAATCTTTTACCTTTAGAAGATCTATTTCTTTGATGCAGTCAGCACGGGCTTTGGCATCCATTAAATCAAATATCTGTGCACAAGAGATGAGATACATTTATTAATTGATTAAATAGGACACTGAGTGATCCTTTTTTTTTTTTGTTTTAACTCACAGGATCTACACAGCAGCTCAAGTTATGCACACATACATGACAAAAGATAATACTGTAATAAGAAATACTCCTAATGCTCTTTGTGCAATTGTTAATACTGCACTCCCCAAGTACTGATTTGCTGCTCTACCAACTCTTGTAGCCCCATTGTAGGAAACTGATACATTGAAAGTACAAGTTTCCTGCCAGCTTAGCTGCCACCTCTACTCATCTGTTCAAATACATGGAAATAATTCAGCACCTGTCCTTCAAGTCAGTTCTAATCCAGATGTCAGCTTCCTCTCCCATACCTCCCACACGATTATCAGAAACTGATTCTTTCTAAGGCTGAGCTTGCCCTTCTTCCCTAGTCACTCGCTACAGCCTTCCGTCTCCATTTTAAAGACAGCATACACTTCTGTTCCCTCAGGATCAAAACTTCACTGTCACCTCTGATTCCTTCTCTTCCATTTCTTGCCCGTTAGCAAAGGAAGAAGTGATTTGAGTTCTGTAATTTGTTTACTACAGTGCTTTTTTCTAAACCCTCATCTGTCACCTTGACTCTTACAGCCTTTTACAGTTCAGCATCTCTGTTCTTCATTTCTTTTCCACCTCCCATCTGCTCCAAATTACTTTGCAATGAATCTCATCTTTACTGCGAACAAAAATTTAAATTAACTGTTAACTGCAAGAGGTAATTTTTTTCCTGGCCATTAAGAACGCACATTTAAGTGCTTACTTTTGACCTAAGTTCCTTCTATCTTCACACCTGAAAACTTCCATGTAGTATCTCACAACTAACCCCACATACAAAGACACAGAGCAACAGTCCTTTGAGTACACAACACGCACACAGAAGCGCTACTGAAACGCCAAACCTGGAGATGGAAAAGAAACGGGAGAGAAGGAAAGAAAAGTAAGAAAGCGAATAAAACATCCCACAACTACTTGTATACTGACACCAGGACAGCGGGTAATCAATACTGAGCTGCATGTAACAAGAGCTCCTCCTCAAGGAGGAGGTTCTGGAGGCCATAACAGAAACAGCAGGGTAAGTCACAAGAAAGCAACGCTAACACTAAGAAATGAAGCAACTTCAGATGTAACAGGAAAAGTACTGTATATGAAGTCATAGATACAAGTATTAGAAGATAAACAACACATGGAAAAGGCAGCAGAGGTTACTTATTAAGGTCAGGATCACATCTAGCCGAAGAGATGAAATCGTCTGCATCTGCTATAGATCTCAACTCTGAATAAAAAAACATCACTCTTTAATCATCTTGAAATATACTAACAATCCTAGCATTTGCTACAGTTGTGAAGGACTGGAATAATTTCCCTGGGAAACTTGTAGATACTAGGGACAGTACATTAACGGTGGGTCACTGGGAAGGCACGAGATCATGAATGGCTTTCCCAGCAAACTAGGAGACTAGCAAAAGGAAAAGTGTACACATCTCTCCTCAAAACAACCCATGGAAGTGTACTGGGTAGCAGGGGATGTAAAAGAGGATCAGTACAGGTGCACGTCTTGAAGTTTCACACGTTGGCTAAGTTCTAGATACTGAGTTAAGAACATATCTTATGAACAGCGGAGAGATCCGGACGTGGACATGGAGAACTCCAACACAACGGGGAGCCTAATCAAAGCTGCAAACAGAATTTGGGACTGAAAACCGTACATGAGATCTACTCATAATGCTTAGAGGAATTATTCAAAGCGCAATTTCGAGATTGAAAATACAAAGATTGTCATTGTGTGAAGAAAAAGAAAAAAAAAAGAAAAAAGGTCTGCATCCACTAATGACTCTCTCAAACAAACTCAATTCCTCATCTGACATTTCTGCTCCTTTTACCATGAGCATGATTCATAAACTCTTCTCAGGGTGCAGAGTAGAGTACCTCTAAGCATTATTATTCTCATCAAGCATTATTATTCTCTACTAAGTTTAGTTTGGAAACACACACTTCAATTTACTGTTCATGAATATAGGATAATCAGCTCTATGCCAAATCTCTGCATGTTGCTATTCAACATTACACGCTCAGACATAACCCCAAAGGACTGTAAGAATCACTTTCTAGAAATGCAGAATTCCGATGTCAAAGATATTAACTTCCTCTAATGAAAAGACTAAGAACAAGTAAGCAAACAAAAAAAAAAAAACACGCCAGCACAAGCCAGGTTAGCTCACAAGGAGCTTCGTGTGAGCACAACAAAAACCCTCTGCATTTCAACATCAGAAGGTAATTCAGCACTGAAGAACATCTCACACCAAAAACCAGAAGCCCCAGTGAAAGGTTAGAAGCTTAAGAACATCCTTTCAAGCACAGGTCAAAACTAACATGAGGCACCTGGTAGGAATCAGAGCACCTGTTCTACAGGAATTGCAGGAGACAGATTACCACACATGAGTATCACTTCTCTCAGCTCAAACTTATTTTCTAACTCTCTTTGAGCTATAGCAGCACACATCCAGCACAAGTGACTGGTCTTCCCTGTACCTGCACTGTTACAGCGAGGTGACTGATTTGCGCAATAAAGATCTAACAAAATCAAAGTGATTAATCTTTGGGGCCATCAGAAAGCATTAGTGACAGGCAGCAATGCTCCTAGCGCCATGCAAAGCGGAGACATGCCCGAGGAGGAAGGAGCTGTCAGCCATCCTCCTCCTCCCTGCAAGGAGCTCTGGGCACTTGTGGTGGAGGTCTGAGGAGGTTTGCACAGCGACTGCTGGGAGCCAGCAGTAATTACAGCAGTGCTCACACACGCAGTCTAGCTGGCCAGTAATAAAAGCCGCTGCATCCTGATTAGATTATCAGGGTATTCATTAGGCTGGCAATAAATACTAACTCTTGACTTCACTGACAACATCAGGATCAGGATAACCCAGGCTGCAGGTGTGTTCTCACTAGCCTACACAAACGGCACAAAGCATAACGCAATCGTACCTGAAATTTATATTACTTTCACCTCATTTTCATTTTCAAGGACTACGATAAGATTAACATTTCTACAAAAACTAACTCTGTTTGCTGTGCAAAAACCTATTAATATGCAGAAGTTGTATTTGATATTTTTCCAATGTATCAGTTTTCACAAAGCATCATTCAAAATGTCATTGTGACAAGGGCTATACCCTATTGTGACAAGGGCAATTCCTGGGAAATACCTGAAAGCAGTTCCGCAAACAGAGCTGGAGCAATGTGAGAGGACCTCTCCAAGCCTTACCAAAACTGTTCCTTCCACATTCTAGAAGCATCAGCAGTAAGCTGTCAGGAGTAGGCAGTAAGCTGTCAGGAGATCCCAGTACTTACAGAACCACTTGTGATCTATTTTAAGGCACAGAACACAAACTGTTCCCTAGGCAGATGTGTAAACTAAACAAGGCAGCTGCAATACGTGCAATCAGCTTCCTGCATCCACTTCTTGCATGCAGGCTGCAGGCTGACACACACACCTACTGCTACTCAAAAGCTCTGTGCAAGGCAGAAGGTTTCACAACAGCCACCAGATGGAAAACATCAAGCCATAGCTTCCAAGTGCAGACTGTATTTGCTCTATCACCAACTACCAATTTAACTCAACTTCTCAAGTAAAAATGAATGTGTCAGTGTCAATTTCAAATAGCACCGCTTTCAAAACACGATAAGACGGAAGCCTACTTCACCCCCCCTGCTCCAGAAGAGGTTTGCTTGTTCCTCCATCACTTCTGCAAGAATTCCTCTCCAGTACTAAGAAAGGTCTTTTTAACCTCACTACTTAACCCATTTGTTTAAAATTCAGTCTAAAATAAAAATACCTTAAAAGTGTTTCTAAAGCAAAACACAAACATCACAACATCAAACCAACAGAAAAATACGCAAAATAAAGACTCAAATGCACATAAAAATTAAGAGAGAATACTGAACAGCAACAACGAGCATTACAGTATTTTGCCACTGCTGTGCTGAGACAATAGCGCTCCATAAAGTGTGAAATTACAAGTGCTTTCCTAAGATTAATTATCTCTAATTCAGGTCTGGAGTAGCAATCCACTGACAACGCACAATGAATAATGAATGTTAGGCACTGGATAAAAGGATGCATTGTTTACATCTCTAACATAGAGGTCTCCGATTTTTGAATGAAAGGAAAGAAAAGGCAGAACAGCGTGAGGCAGAAACGTGACGAATCTGCAATTCTGTTGAAATATGCAGTTTCAGGAGATATTCTGAGTAGCTGAAGTTTATTTTTAAAAGTACCACGTTGAGCAAATATAGCCTTACAGTCACTGCCCAAATATTTACATTCTTAAATTACGCTATTTTAAGCGGTTTGTATTTAAGTTCATACTAGTTTCATAGTTCACATCCCTGTACAGCAAAACCAACTGTCCATTCACAGACTTGCCTGCATCGTAATATACTGACAAATCACCAAAAGATAACTGATATGCCCTTCTAAGGACAGAGACTTCATCCAACAGCAAAGGAGGGGGGAGACTAGCAAAGATTAACAGACACACAGACCCTTCCAATAGGCTGAAATAGCAGGAGCATCTTACTAAGACCAATACCTCTGAGAACAATTGTCAAAGAAGTTAGTCCAGTCTAACGCCCTTGAAGAAAAAGGTAGCATGTCAAGCAGCAGAGAAAATCAAAGTGGAAAAAGTGACTAACTAATTTAACTGATCAAGATTGTATTCTGTGGGACAAAGGCTGGGTTTATAATGTGCCATAGAACCCATCATCTCCTCACTGACTCCCATTTTTGGCATTCTGTAGCATTCTAAAATTTCATTTCCAGTCTTGGCTCTTGAGTATATTTTGTAGGCTCCTGGCTAGAATCAAGACAAAAAGATCAGAGAAAGCAAGAACTGCAGAACATCATCTGTAGAACATCATCTGTAAATCACTGATAGCTGAGTAGGTTTTGTCCTTTAGGACAAGATTTCTTCCAGAACCTAGCAGTTGCTTCCTTCCCTCTACCAAGGGACAGCTGGAGTTCCTGCTGCCCACAGTGTAGCACTGATGATTCTCTCGTCAGGATTATTTACAGTTGTAGTAAACACGTGCTGCTTCCTCATCAGGCACGGCCTGTTCAGTCCACTTCGAACATCACGCTGGAAAGTTATCAAGAAGCTCTTCAAATTTAGACTGTTACATTCAAAACGTACCTGCGATTGATCTTCACTGATTTTTCTTTGGTTCAAAGTGTTACTTAAACATTGAAGAAAGTGAAGCAGTAACAATTTGTCTTGCAATTCTAGTTTTACTTCGGTAATACTTCAACAGCATCTCAAACAGGGATCCATTGAAAAAGACAGAACCAAATTACTATATATACCATCTCCCTAATTAGGCAGAGGCCAAGAGCACACCAAGAAATGAAACACATAAGAGTACAACCAGAAGAAAACACAACATTTTGTTTTCTTTTTAAGTTACTAGAAAGCAATTGCAAGTTCAATAGTTTTCACACTGCTACATAATCAGCTGAAAACCAAACCAAGAATAAAACTATTACTCCGTAGCATCTGGACTCAGAAGCAACAACGAATTCAGTGAGAGTGGTTTCTGTCACCATCTGCTTGTCCTTTCTCCCACAGCATGTTACCACCGCATGCTTCTGCGCACACCGAGTTGTACAAATATCCGTTTCGTAGATTAACATTTATATAACATTAATATAACATTTATCAATATTGTGCATATTGCAGCCAAATAACATTTTAATAGCAGAAAATAAACATTCTTGTTGGAAAGCTTCATTAAAAATAAATAAATAATAGTAAATACTGGCAGCCTTATTGGAACAAATAGCATCCTGAGATCCAGTAACTCTAAGAAAGGCAAGGTATAAGTTAGAGCAGAGCTTGTGGTCAAAGACAAACTGAGAGAACCACAGAAAGGGATTAACTACAGACTCAGCCTTGCCAGGAAAATGAAGCAGAGCTGGAGGTGTAAGACTTGCAAAAGTCAGAAATGCAGGCATGCGGTACTTAAGATGTGAGATGAAAAAAGGAAAAAGAACGGGAAAAGTAGGAGAAAGCGCAGATCTCCATCTGTTTTTTGTTTGCTTGCGTTTCTAAACACAAAGTTAAAGGATTTAAGAGATAGTGTCTCAATGGGGGAAAAGTGGAAAAACCAAGCACAGGTCTGAAATACAGAGAATAGAGTATGTCTCCCCTGACAAAAATAAGCTCTTTTTTCCCCCCACTTGGTCTATACTAAGCTTCCATTAATGAAACACCAAACAAAGCGTTGTTTTAATTTTTAAAAAGTGACTGAAATTTAAAGCATCATCATCATAGAGTAGACTCAGAGGAAATCCTCTAAAAAGCAATCACTTCTCACTAGAATATCTATTCAGACTTATTTCATAACAAATTGACAGTGATTATCTAAAATAGCATTTCTAGGAAAATCTTAAAGGAGGCCACAGAAGCAGAGTAACAAGTTGGTCTCCTGCCCAAATAGAACCCCTTTAGATACCAACTACACAAGCCAACAGAGCCATGCCAAATGATCAGTGACACCTCTGACCTATCACAAAACATTTGAACTCCTGGTAATAATGCACGATACAGTTAATATTTATTTTTCTTCCCCCTACAGGATACCCAAATCACACGTTCCATTCAAATAACTGTCTTCTACACGGACCCATCCTTCATATGGAAAGTGCTTTTACAGATCACACGGCATCAGCCCTCCTGATGTGCTATTCAGGAACATTTACAGGAAAAACAACAGTTTACATTGGATGCTTATAACTCTAGGATGAAGCCCTTGGAAAGAGCTGCAACACTTGCCTCATTTCTTACTAACCACCAATTCTATTTTTAGATATTTATTGGATGGTTTCTATAGCAGAGAAGCCACAAAGGCTGCGCAAAAAGTAATGCCTTCTATTTTATTGTGTTGGCCCATGCAATGAGAGGCAGCTAGTGGTGGGATGGCAGTAGAGGTCAAACCTTCCCACCAATACTGTTCCCTCTCATTGCCACGTGACAGAAGACAGCAGATGGACTGTCTCACATTGGCATCTGACATGGAAGTGCATATGAAACAGAGGTGTGCCACTTAATTCCTCCACATGGGAAAAATTGCACCCACTGATGTTTATCAATGTTAGTTGACCATTTTATGGAGACCAAACAGTGGATGCAGCAAAGTGAGGTTATGGATGGTGTGCTTCAGAAGCAGGGCATAGCATGCATGCTGTTGGTCATCACTACTGAAAGCATAGATCATGGTGGTGACCGTATTGAAAGGAATGTTTTGTAGCTGAGAATTAGCTCTATCAAGAAGTATAACTGCACTCTCTCCCGTCATTTCCATGTAAATTGATAGGAGACATTACTTTCAGAGCAATCTACATAGTTCAGTCATCACCAAGGTAAGGACAGCATGATGTCTTCTTCATAGACACATTTTTTTTTCCTGACATGAAAATTCAGCTTTATATACTGACTTGAAATATCTTTAATAGTACACATTATAATGTCTCTGTATTCTTAATGCAAACATTGTTATAAAAATTTCATAGTTAACAGTGAAAGGCTAGATTTTATGACTGTCTTCAAGCACCAAGGCATTCACATCCTCCTTAATTGACATGCTTTTCAAGTCACATTTGACCTTTTCGGTTTTTCATGCACTGAAAATGAAGGAAGAATTAGCCTAATGTTTTAAGACTGTTGATCAAAGTTCTTAGAACATATTTCAGCTTTTGAAGTGGTATATATCTGGCAGTTTTCCCAGAAGGGGGAACCAAGCCTTTTTTCCCCCCCCCCTCTAAATGACTGCCCATTCTCACCCTGCGTCACAGTTCTGCAAAGCAGGAGAAATCATGGAAATGGAACAGAAAGTCCAGATATGGCAGAGAAATTTACAGCATATGCATTAGCACAGCAAAACAAAAATTATTAAATTCCAAAAAGCACTAGAAAATGGTCTCTGAAACCTGACACACGTTGTTTTGCAATAAATTAACGTAACTAAACGTCCTTCGGGACTGATCGCAACCCTCCCTCAAGTAATAAGCTTGATATCTCTCAAGAGATCAGAACTGCAGTGACAATTTAAGTTTCAATTTCAAAATCACACCAATTGCCAATGAATTTTTAAAGAAAATCCAGTAGAGTATTTTTAAGGGGAACAGTCTTTAGAATAAAGATCAACAAGCAACTCCAAACAAAACACATTAGAAATAATACTGAACAGTCAGAGCTGTCTTTCGTTTGCATGACAATAAAAAAAGCCAGACTTTTTCCACTTAAATCATCACATAAAGTTAAAATACTTCTAAAAAATAACTATCCACCAAGAACTAACTATCGGTCCTAGTGCCTTATGCTAAGACTTCATCATGTTTCCTGGCATCAGTACCTTTATCAGTTTGCTGCTCTACTATCTTTTCCAACAGAACTGCTGTTGCACTACTGTTTAAGCATTTAATCATGGAAACATTTGGGCCCTTGAGAACACACAAATTTTGACCAATGTAATTCACTTAATTCCAATGTGCAGTTGCATTTATTTATTAACTAGGGCCCTGAACATAGATGTATTATTCACAAAAAGATTAATTTGAACTCAGCTGCGTCCTGCAGTCTGAAGGAAGCACTGAGCTACATCCTGAAGCACAGTTTCTGGTTCATTTACGTTCTAGGTAATACTCAAGTCTTTTGAAACAAGAATTCATTTCAATTATGACAAGGTTGACTATGTATACACCTTATTTGATTTAAGCACTTATGGAGCACGATTGCTACCTGAAAATAACTTTCAAACAGCATCAGCTCCCAGCCACAGTGA